GTGAGGGAGGATCACAGGCGACTCGGTCTTAAGCTCGGGGATTCAATTCAAGCCATGCTCGTTCCCCCGCGAAAAGCGCGCTTGGGAACCAACGGAGGAGAAGCGCCGGGCGCGCCGGCGAAATTTCACGGATTAAGTAAACGACGGGGTGCCGCGCGTTTAAAAGGGTGGTTCGCCGGGCGGCCACTTCTCTTTCGCGCCGAGCCGTCAGTTTATCTGTTTGCTCGTTAATTAACGCAACGGTCGAGCCATGGTCGCTCGATCGATTGTACCTTAACGACGAACGGGGTGAGAGGGGGGGGGGATGGAATTCGTTTCCGTAGCGCCGCTAAAAATCTTCCGTTAGCGAGAAATGCAGAGGATAGAGATTCGCACTTTTTCCTCTACTTTCTTTTTTTTTATCAAGGCACTAAAATATCATCCCTATCGCTTGCTTTATATCTGCGCGCTGGGAAGACTCGGAGAGTTTCCCTTAGCTGACTATAGCGCTCGTGGGAAAAACAATGCAGCGTCTTTTTAGCGAGGTCTACTTATTATTTTTACTCTAATCGCGTCAATCGTTAATTCACTATAATTCTGTTCAACGAAGGAAAAATAAGCAAACCTTCTTTCCCCTGCGTTTTGCCACGTTCGCGCGCGATCCTCGGTTAAATCGGACGGATCGGTTCAAAAATACGTGCGCGATAAATATCGACGTCGTTTCCCGCGTCGACGAAACGCGACTCGGGTCGTCGTACCGCCGCGCGCCGCGCGCGATTCCGGTATTCTAATGATTTACGGCACGGATCCGCGGTCCTTAGGCCGCTGTCGCGATAACGTATCGCCCAATTTGTCAGCCCGCGCAGGGGGGGATACGAAAAATTTCAATCTCTCCTGTCGTTCGCGAAATCTCTGACCGGCGTGACGGGGCGTTTTGTTTTCGGCGATGGCGAGCCATCTCTGAAACCGCGCCGATCGATCGAACCGATATGACGGAGGAGGAACAACGAAGATCGGCCGCGGACGGCCGCTGCTCCTCCTCTCCGAGAGAGAGAGAGACAGAGAGACTCGCGGAGGGTCGGCGACGCGCGGCTCCGTCGCGCTGTGATAGATTAATCAGCGAGATTCCTTAAATAGCTGCCGAGCCGCATCGAACGTCAACGCTATTACGCGCGTCGCGGGTCAATTAAACGACACTTCATATAATTAACGAGCGAGATTCGCCGGTGCTCGGCGAAAACCGCGAGCCTCGCCCGACTCGGTTTATCGCGGCGGGCGAGTTATTCGACGGCGCGACGATATTACATCCGCGTGCGCACAGGTGCGTTTCCGCCGCGTTTCAATCTCGCGTAATCCAAAATCTCGCGGTTATACCGCGCGGGAGGGATTGCCATCTCTCGGTTATGAGATTCTGCCCTGTTGGACGGAAACGAGAATGTCGTCGTCGCGCGGGGGAACGAGTATCGGGTTTTAGCCGCGTAATTTTCGCGTAACGAGATTATTCTGCCGCTCGCAGTTTATTATCCGTGCGCTACACCCGGATACGATTCCGAGAAGGGGCAGGGGGTGGAGGGGTGGGGGGATTCTCTCGCGGGAAATCGCGATCGGCGAAAGACGACACGAGCGTCTGAGGGGACGACGTGCGCGAGGACGCGCGTTCAAGACACGCTCGTTTTCTGTCGCGAGGACGATCGATAGAGTCGAGGCACGTCAAATATTAGACGTTCGGCCTTCGAGCGAGGAGCGGCAATTTCGCAGCTCGCCGTGAATCCCGCGTTATAACTCCCCGCGCGATGGTTATTTGGAATTTGGAGAATTACACCCGCGCGCGCGCGCGAGCGTGACGTTTGGGAATCGCGTGACTCCGTCCTCGATGTTGTCGTCCCGACCGACGTCGCGGGAAGGAGCGGAAAAAAAAATGAAATCGCTTATTCGTTTTTAGAGGTGGGAGAGAGGGAGGGGGGGGGGGCGAGCGGGTATAGCCTCGCTCTCTTCGATCGAGCGTCCCGACAACAGCCCCGGGACGGTATCCCGCGCGCTCACAAACGGAGAGGATGCGGCACATACAACGACGTAAAAAATACGTCAACTACAAAACTTATACAACAGATCAAGCCTTTTGCTCTCTATACATTTATGTGTTTCAGCGCACGGTTACGCACACGTAATCTGCCGCAACGGCGTCGCACCCCCGTGGTGGTGGTGGTATAGTGGTCGGCGCTCGAAATAGCGTAATTCGAGAATTGTATGCGCGTGATGTGACGCGAACATGCGTATCCCCGGCGTTTTAACGTATGTATAGCAACACAACATTCGAGAAACGAGTTTTCAGCGAGAGCGATATACATAGATCGCCCGCAGTTTCCGATGAAATTAAACATAGATTATCGCGTTAACCCTCGATATTGTGCACAGTGTAACGATGATATTTTCAGCGAGTTTACGCGAAACTTTGATGCGAACGGTTCTATATATAATTACGCGTATCACGGTATCGCATAACGCAACCCGTCTCGAATTATCCAAACAGAAATTTTAACGCCACGGAGTTGCCGTGTTTCGAGAGTCCTCGACGAGGACCGCTATACCCTTCTCCTTTTCGCGAATATCGCGTTGCCGCATATATCGCGACGCGGTGCGTCCGCGAACGGTCCCCGCGCACGGTATACGAATAATCGGAATACGGCCTAATTCGAGAATTCGACGTCTGCGACGATTCTGAAAACGGAGGAGAGATTGCAATGACCCGCGTGCAATGATCGCACGGTAACGCGATCCGATGTTATTTTCGCGTGGCACGCCGTTGCGACAGTTGTCTACCGAGCTAACATTTATCAAAACGCAGTCGAGTCTGGCACCGAGTTGTGAGCATGCCGAAGGCCCGTCGTATATATTCTCGAGAGAGATTTCACGATTTCTCATCCGGTTTTACCATCGTTTCTCCAAGCGCAAAGTCCAACGCCGACTATTCGCCTCTCATAAATTCATGTGGGCATCTGTTTAATTATCAGGCTGGAAGAGGCCGCGAAAATCGATCTCGAGACGTTAATCAGAGAGCATTGCGATTTTTGGACTTCTAGCACTCTATATTTTTTTCTTTCGATATTGAGATAAAATAAGATGTAAATTTTTCAGAAAGAATTATTCTAATAGATCGTTTGACATACTAATATTATTTAATACTGCAGAGGTGGTGAACCTTAACAAGCGATTCGGTCGACCTGATACGATTCGTCCTCCGTTCCGTGAATCCGTGCTCGAGACATTATGGCGCGGGGCTAGCTAGTGCTCTACCGGGTTTTCCAAAAGCAGTTTTTACAAGCCGCATTAGCTATATCTACGTCGAATCGACTTGCGAAACGGGCGCGGCTTGTCTGCCACCCGCTCATCAATTACGCTCACAATGCCGCGACACAAATGACCGTTATCTTACATATCGCCGATGCTCGTCGCTGATGTCACCCACGCGGGCATGATATTACCAGATAGGCGATCAAGTCGGCTCGAGATATCAAACGATCTTCTGTGAATGCAGGTCGGACGTATCGCTCATTTTGCACAACGACGGGCCTTCGGCATTGATCCGGTCATAGGCGCCGCCGCATACGTAACAAAAACCTCGCACGAACGCACTCACACGTCCATTTATTTTTCCTTTAGGTATACGAGTAGAAACAGAACGGAGAAAAAAAAATGCGACGCCTATGCCTCGTTACGTGGACCGTTCATTGAGAATAGGAAGGATCGTATACCCAATGGCGAAACGTTTAATCCCCGACTGTTACGCCGGAATCGAATCTGATGACACCGCGGCAAATCGGACG